GGCATTGCAGCCACTTATACACTCTACGCAGCACAACACGTGCTAGGCTGGGCTGACTGCGCGTCCCGAGTTATCCTGCCAGTTGAAAACCCTCCAAGCCACGGCGTTTAACGTTTGATGCTACCACAAGGCCCCCTTCTTCAGATAAGTCTGGACTTGAATTAGGCGAAGTCATAAAAGGCAATTGGGCCGCTAACGAAATATGGAAAAATGCCACTGCCTAAAATTGGGCATGTGAACTGACATTTTGTGACTGTTGCCAGTAAGTAGGCTCTAAATTACAGTGCTTAGAGGTGCTGTACCCGATAGGTTTTATCGCGCAAGACAGTGCTTAGAGGTGCTGTACCCGATAGGTTTTATCGCGCAAGACAGGGACACTGGCGTCACTATTTACGGCTTACCTACCGTCATTAGTGATCAGTGATGTCTCGATAGCGGGCTGCACACCCACGCTTTGAATGCGAGTTGGATTTATTCCACTCATAAAAGCTAATCGTTATTTGTCACCTCCAAGACTGAGCGATGTAAAAATACGTAGTTCAGTATATATCTTTCACACTGACCCCACCAATCCCCTACTGAACGCAGCTCGAGGTGACTAACAGCGCCTTAGAGGTGCCATAATAAACTAACTCTATGCTACTGTGTGTGTACTACATGTTTTCTGATAACAGACGCATTTTCTGCCTGGTAGGACCTGATCTGAGCGCACGATCCTGTGCGAGTGTCCTTTCTCGATGTCGACAGTCACGGATGGACTGGTGACTACTAAGTGCAACGACAAAAAGCTCAACGTGCGGTCTTGATCGGTGCCTTTGAATGTATAAAATACACTGGACGCCGAGTGCGATTAAAAGCATACCCGAACTGATACAGAAATGTCTCCTAAACTTTACGCACGACGTTAAAGTGGTTGGCCTGGTTACAGAACAACCAACAGACGGACATGTATAAAGTATGTGTCAGGTTTAACATCATGTATAACAGTGAAAACAACTGCCACAGATGCGAGAATAGAAAAGCGAGTAACACAGATATACACAACATACTTGATCTTTTCCAAGTTTCCATTGACCATCAACGATGAATTTGTACTGGTGTTCACCCTCCGGGAGATCGATAATGGTATAGAAGTTCTGTTTGCTGAAACGAAACATATAATTCAGATAGCGGTTACGGATATCATATCAAAGGAAGATGAACCACTAAGTGGATGGTCAACATTTTCAATGAAACAATTTGGCCACTATTCGTCAGAGGTTGAAAAATTACCCGCTAAGGACTGCTGGCCGAATGCACTACTTGAAACCTTCAACTAGATACTACTAAGCATACAAAAACAGGTGGAAACAGGACTAAATCCCCTATTTTACTTTCGACCAAATTTTAATCTTCTAAAGAGACGTTGTACAAACAAAAATGAACAGACTTCAGAAAGTATTGATATCTTTGGAAAAGTATGTTCATACCGAACAAATATACTGGTAAAAAAGGAGCGGTGAGGAAATGGTTGAACCGAAAAGGATACTTTTAATTCACAGCAGGTATACTGGAACGAAGGAAGCTAGTTGTGGGTTGAATCCCCAGCATATACGGATAGATAGATAGAAAAAAAACGATTGACTGTATGCTTTTAGACGAAAACGGTCTGAGGCCCGACATCCAAATCGTCAATCATAAAAAGAAGGAAGAGCTCATTTTCGGTTGATTAAGTGATAAAACCGAGTGAGCAATACATTACTATGGTGGATAACCTGGATCTCCTTCGACAAATGTAATGCTTCATAAACAGAGCTGCTTACAACGGAAACGGGATAAGAGAGGTTCAAAGAAGACCTCCATGTTTTAACGGACTGTAACGAACCAGGTTTTCAGTTCACTGAATGCTCGATTGTTCCAGTTGGACAGCGGCATTGGATCAAGAGCAACAACGCTGAATGCATGGGGCGAACGACGAAGATTCACCACCACTTCTATCGTCTTCTATTGACAAATTCTTGTGACGCCGTCATTTAGATTGGGAAGCATCTCATTTGAGACAAACTTTGTACACTGTTCGAAGAACGGTTCTCAGAAAAGATTTTCAATCTTCATTCGTCATCCACATGCACATCCCGGCTTTCACGACCGTGAAAAAGAAGCTACTGGTACACGCAAGGGTCTATGGAAGTGGTGATGTCGCGTCGGGTTCAGAGACATTTTCAAGAGGTAGTAAAAACCTGAAATCAACATCGCTTCGGAGGTGGATGTTGTCCATACTCGGCAACATCTTCCTGGGGTACTCGCAGTT